ACCCAACCCAAACCCAACCCAAACCCAAACCCAAACCCAAACCCAAACCCAAACCCAAACCCAAACCCAAACCCAAACCCAAACCCAAACCCAAACCCGAACCCAAACCCAACCCCAAACCCAAACCCAAACCCAAACCCAAACCCAAACCCAAGCAAGAATCAATACCAATTCAATATTATCGTGTAATAATCATCAAATACTGCCATAGAATCAATTTTAGAATGATTTCAATATCATCTTAGATAGTTATCATAGGGCAAAGTCACTACCTTAGTGAACTACCCATGTCATTAAGAAATATCAAAATTGTAATATTTCACTCATATATTCATATATACATCAAATAGAGTCTATAATATCAGTTTCATGATATATAATCAATAACTGGTATTATGACAATATTTCAATTGAGATTAGACATTGCAACATTTCCCAAATTGGAAATATAGAATATAAAATCATGAAACCAATTATTTATCGATAAAATGCATAGATATACGATATTATCAAATAAAATATATAGGTCCCTATTGAAAGTGTTTACCTGGTAAAAAGTGAGCGTAACTTCCGCTACTTTCATCCTAATTGGTTATCTCCCTATATATATGATAGATTTCAATTATTTCAATTATATATCATAAAACATGATAATTAGACATGTATACATGAGTGGAATTAAGTCATGTAAGATATTCATCCTTCAATAACCGATATTATCATTTTCACACAAGTTGACTTCCTACAGTCTGTATGTGGATCCAATAATGATTATTTCAATTATATATGATTATAATTGATATTTTCTACTATAATAATGAGTTTGATTGAATGTTATAGTATTTCCATAGTATGGCTCAATATCTTGGTCAATTAAGGTAGAATGAGTACAGTATACTAAGGATATTATATATTATACTTCCAACACTTCTAAAAGGTAGATGTCATCATTATACATCATATATATGAGATTGGTGATGATTAAAATAACATTCATATAGTAGTACAATAAATGTTGAAAAGTTAGTTTTTAGACAAGTTGTAATTTATTAAATACACTGATTCAACAAGATTAATTCATATCATCATCTATTCATCTATATATCTACAATATATCAAAAGTTTCATTCTGGCCCAACTTGGCAATTTTCAACTTTGTCAGACCCAAGGTAGGTTCAACCCATGGGGTCACTTTAGGACTCAATTATCTCGGGAACGGCGAATTAAAAAAATTAGTATTTTCTATCATTTCTTCCAAAACTCATATAGATTGATATTTGAGTAAATCATAACCCGGAACGTTCTCGTCGCAGAGATAATAGATATACTAGGCATTTTTGAGTTGACCATTTTTGATTATCTCAATAACTACGGGGAGTTTTTTCACGTGTATTACAGAATAGATATATTAATGTATTTAATAATACATATATAAGAACTGGATAGCCAATATTAGCCGTTCGTTTTATGTGATTAGGTTTTCGCCATACCCAACCCCAACCCCAGAAAAGTTAATCTCGATGAAAGTAGTTTTTTTTTTCCTCCCGTAAGCAATTCAATTAATAGATTGGGAAGTACTAGAAGTGTTTCATCAGCCATAACAATTTCACAAAATATTTATTTAATAGTTTTATTGATTTTCTTCATTTTGTATTTACAATAAATCATAAATTCTATTTGCATTAAAAATTTCATAACCTTTAGAAATATCTCTTGCAATAACAGTACCACTACTGACATGTTTTGGACCAAAACCATAAACAGTTATAAAATTATCAGTTCCACGTCTATCAATATTAAGAGAAGGTATTTCAGTACAAGTTATAATAATATTTGAAAAAGAGGATTCTGCAATCATTCTTGTATATAATTCTTGGATTGGTTAGTTAATTTTATTTCTTCTTTTTTTCATATAGATTATTGAATATAGAACACATCTAGCCTGTTTTCAGACAATAAAAGTCCAGATCCCAAATATGGCAAAAAGTTTTCTAATTGAACTTCACACTAATATTGTTAGAAACCAAAGAAAACAACAATTCAAAAACTTTCTGAAACCCAATTGGGTTTCAACAACCCACAAATTGATTGCAATTGGAGAGGAGGAAGAGGAATTGGTGAAGGAAATTATTGGAGTTACAGTCTGCAAGGAAATTGAGGATGTCAAATTGAGGACAAAGAATTGATTTTGCACCTTACTACTGCCAACAAAACAACAATGTATATTGAGGGAAAGTGGAAGATCTGCGAAGATACTGATCAGGCATTAAATTTCACATCACCTACACCATATTTGCGATGATAATTGCACATTAAAATTAAGATGTTTATTACTTTGATATCTCTGATAATTGTAATAAAGAATGATCAAATTGAGATTTTAATGTGCTTAATAGTAGGTCAGTAATTGGCTGGAATTCGATTAGAAAAATGAATCTTGTAATAGTGGAATGGTTCTATTCTAAATAACTCTACTTTGAAATTCTCTTTCACCACATTAAATTCCTTAAATTTTAAAAATTTGAATTCTGGTAAAAGGATTCTGAGCTCTACACAAAAATAAGCAACCTTTACAAGAGAACCTTTCGAATTTTCAAAATAATTCAACTTGCCATTTTTTAGTTGTTGATTTCCATCAAGTTAGTATTGAGTTAGAATCGATACATTACAAATCAAAGTAGAATGGCTGGAATTTGTGTGAATTTGCTGCATTAATAAATAGAATATCATCATTACTTTGTTCAGTTTTCAACTGTTTCGTGCTATCATCTTTTTCTTTTTTAGCAGCTTCCAACACGTATGATCTTCTCAAAAATTCATAACCATTTTTTGAGTGAATGTGTCCAAAGAGATGAATTTTGAGCTTGTGTAAATCCAATAATT